TAATTCATTGTTGCTCAGTAGGAATAATATCCACAGGGATAAAAAAAATCCAGAACTTGTCACAGCAGTATCAGAAATACTGGTTTTTTGCCTCTCTTTCAAGGGTGAAACATTGGTTGAGAAAAAATGTTAGCTCTGTAGCATCACTGAATACTTCTTAGATCATGTACGTATTCACCGCTTCCCATTTCACTATTAAGGTATCACATTCACATAAACTCAGTTTCTAATTACTCAATTTTTATTTTTTTTTTCTTCAGAAGAAAATGTGCATATCAGCAGTCTCCAGTGCAGGCTTTCCTCTTTCTAGAACAGTTTCTGAAAGCAAAATAAATGAAAATGCTGCCTTTGCCCTAGCAGGAAAGGAACATGTCTCCAATAAATAAAAGAGCACATGGATGTTGTGTGTGAAAGCAAAATAAGGAGTGTTAGTTATGAGCTGTAATGTTGTCGGTTCTCCGGATGCAGATAAATAAAAAGGGAAACCACTGAACTTAGAAATGGCCATCTAACTTCTGTTCCCCAAAGCTGACTCTGCCTACTGAGGCCATGTTAGATGGATTTACAACACATACTGTACAGCATCATTTTATAGAAATTTCTACCAGTCTTCATTTTTCTCCTTTCTCCCTTACCCTCAGCCTCACTAAGAGCAGGAGTCTGCTGCAGCAACTAAACTCTAGTTAAAAATGGGTGGGCCTGATAGCAAAGCTGCTCTGAGAATAACTTCGTAACAATTACTGCATCAAAGAGCAATATATCATAACATTATCTCCTTCTAGTAACATAATTTTTCACATTTTTTTCACTAATCTTAGCTGCTGCTAGACATGCCTCAAGGGATTAAAATTTGGTGATGAATTTGTGGGTCTCATTTGCTGTTCAGTTTGCTGCCATTAACATTTTGAAATAGTTAAGCACTTCCTAATTTTAAATAGAAACTTTAGAAAATACTTTCTTTGGAAGAAGAAAATATACGTTGTGGTTTTAACATACCATGCATGCCTGTAAATAAATCTAGGCTTTTTAAGATTATTTTCATTTTCTTAAGTGAAAGGAAATGTGTATCAGTTTTCAAATAGGAAGGGGAGCATTACTATTGCAAATGATAATGAAGAAAAAGGCAGGAAAAACCTGTGCTTACCCAATGCAAATGAACCCCTTCTGCCTACAGCTCAGAGATTCACAAAACTGGGCAAGAGTGGAGCATCTTTCTTTCAAACCTAAACATTCATGCCTTCAGGGAACAGTCAAGGGAAAATGCTGCACAATCTCAGGAGCATATTCTCTTTCCCAAATGAAAACCTGGAGAGGGATGACGAGAATGAATCCCTAAAAATGCCAATGAGGTACTGTCACAGCTGCCCAGAGAAGCTGTGGATGCCCCTGGACGTGCTCAAAGCCAGGTTGGATGGGGCCCTGGGCAGCCTGAGCTGGTGGGAGCAGCCCTTCCTGTGGCAGGGGGTTGGGTCTGGCTGGGCTTTTAAGGTCCCTTCCAACCTGAGCCATTTTATGATTCTGATTCTATTATTCTATTTAATAAGCACAATGCTTATTGAAAAGGTTCTGAAATCTTAAGACATTTATTTATGCATTTCTTGACCGTCTTTCTTGTCATATTTATACACTGTATCAGCAAGAATGAAAAAACTTGTCTGACTGCAACTGTCCTAACTACCGAGTACATTTTTCTATGAGTTCTGATATCTGCCCTTTTAACTTTTCACATGGTTCTTATTTTCCTCACATGCTTGGAGGATAAGTGATTGCTAAGATCTCCATTACACAGGTGGGTGACAGAAACATAAAGACATCTGTCCTAGCCAAAGTATAGTGAATGTGAAATTGGTAACAGAACAGGAAATTGCTGAAATTTCAGCCCATTTCTTGCAACACATAGAATATTCCTACCTGACAATAGGATGATTAACTTCTGTGTATCAATCTTACATGAGAAAAAATGATACTGAGGTTCACCTTACAATAATGAATTTTATATAACCGCAAAAATAATGCTGTTCTTTTTCTTTCTTTTTTTTTTTTTTTATGAGAGAAATTAGGTGCCATGTGTCTACAGCAATTTAGGATGTCTGGCAGTGCACAATCTGCTGTAGTTAACTGCCATCATCTTACAGAATTGGTTCTAATGAGCTGATGTCTTCCCACAATGAAAATATCTACAGCATCTTTGTATTGCAAATGCATGCCAACTTTTTAAACCCAAAAGCTCAAAGATAACAGCTTAGAATATGGGATATTTTGTGGGTTGAGGAAGGCATAATTTAGCTGAGCTTGCAGTATAATTCATATAGAGATCAGCAGTCAAGGCAGTAGTTTGGGAGAGTTGGCCGCATAATCAAAACCAAAACACAGCACTAAAAATGATGAAAGATGGGTGTATCCTGGCCCAGTATTCCGGGAAACTGATTTAATTTCTGATCTCTGTCATGCATTTCCTGCAGAATACTGTGAAGATCACTTAACACCTTGGTGCTTTATTTCCCTATGTGTAAAGCAAGGAATTGAAGACTATAAAGAACTCAGATTTAAGGTTCAAGAATTCAGGATTCCTGGCATAACTTGTTTGCAAAATCTCTTCCATGATGAGTCTTCTGGACTGCACTCACACTACTTATCACGTCACAGGGCTTCCCTTTGAGAAAGTGTAATTGATCCATTTTTGCATGCTTTTGGAGAATGACAGGTTGGAGGGCTATGCTGGTTGCGGCATGGAGGAATTCTTATGGCAAGATATTATTTTTTTTCCACACTGTTTCTCTGTAAAAAGACTGTGCACTATAACAAGTCATTATTTTAAATAATACCGAAGATAGATAATATCATAAGCCTTTTCAAATCTCAGCGCATAAAAACTGTTACACTCACCCAATATCTTTCACTAGGGTTGTTATGAATAAAACCTCTCCACTTATTTCTATCTTCTCAAAAGCTTTTAAAAGTGTGGACTTCTGCAGGAAACAACTATTATTAATGAAGCAGCTGGGTTTCTTTTTAAAGAGGTTACTTTGAAGCCATTTGCTCTGCTAATTATTAACAGAAAAACTGATGATATCTACAGTGCTTTGGGACACTGAATATTATCTAAAATCCTTTTAAAAAACATTTCAGGAGAATAAGCCGTATCAGAAGTGTGAATTAAAACTGTAAAATAATACACATGGAAACCAGCTGCAGAAATGATTAGCTCACATTTCCCCCCAGCAGTTTTGCCTGCAATTTCTTATGCAATGTGAGAAGTACTGCTTCACAACAACATCGTAATTTTGCTAATGTCAGTTGATATTAAAGTATCTCAATAAGTAGTAATTGTTCTGATGAATAAATGAATGTGAATAGTAACATACGTAGATATAATAGAGCAGCTCAGAGAAAGGTAGTTTTATGGAATCACGTATTTCATTATTTGTTTTTATTCTCCTGTGTGAAATTTTGCACATGCACACACAATGAATGCACAAAGAGCACAACTGGGCTCAGGCAAATCTTCCTGGGTCACCACGATAAAATTACAGAACACAGATGCCCTAGGTCCTCAAAAGAGCAGCAGCTTGTCTGCATCCTGCAGACAGATGTGAGATGAGCCAGGAAAGCAACTGGGCTGATTTTTTAAACCAAATCGGTTTCCAGAAGATGCTGACAGTACCACACTACCTCCAGAAAATAACTTCATTTTGACGGATTGTCAAATTCTCACCAGAAATAGCATTGTTGGTATCTTTCCAACAAACTAGACATCTGTCAGATGTCTTGACAGATAGAAACAAAAGGTTTATTCGGGATAGTCAGTGAAGAGGACAGCAAGGGATGCTAAGAGTGAAAATACAACGGAATAACCGAAAGCAAAAGGAATGGAAAAACAACGTCTAGCAATATCTGAAATAATGGGTCTGATGTGCCTTCAAAGTAGTATCCTCTGTTCCAGATGCTGTTCTTTTCTGGTGGTTAGCTCTTTTCCCAAACTGCTGTCAAATAAGTGCTCTCTGCATGACTTTCTCTCATTTCTTTGTATCCGTTTTCTTTCAAAGGTCTTGGTATTCTTTCCCTCCTGCTTATTCACTCTCTTCCCTTATCATTTCCTTCTTTCTGCTACCATATCATCCCTCATCATCATCATCTAGATTTCTCTTTGTTGAACACCTCTGCTTGGCATTTTGGGATACCCTTTCAAACATGTTCACAAAACCGCAGTCCTCATCTATCCCCAGACTTTGTCTACAGTCCCACCTTGCATTCTACAAGATGGAAGTGGCAAGGCACTAGGCTGGTAAGGACTGACATTTACTTTCTAAGACAAATTTGAAACCCTTGCCAGTCAAATCATTCAAAGAGGTTATGTCATTAGGTCTCCAGAGCATTTCCAATGGTTGATTTAACAAAGACACTACTTTAAGATAAGTTTAAGTTAGGAGGTCATCCCTTCCTACATTTCTAAGAAAACATAAATACAAGTGTAACATGCTTTCTATAGCTCTTCTTTAATGTTTGTGGAGTGACCTTTTGGGGTTAATTAGCACTGAGATACTTCACCCATGAACTGTTTTCTAATTCGTTTAATGCAAGTAACCATAAATAATTATAAATCAATTACCAAGTCTATTCTACACTTCACCAACCAAAAGAATCAAAACAAAGTGCTTTTGAAGGTGATTGAGCAAAGTGAACAATTTCCATAAGCCTAGGTATTTGTACTTCAATTTATCTTTTCCTTCATAAAAACACTAATCAAAACACATTTTGCTAAATATGGGAGCTACTCTTGTAAAAGAAATCAATTATATTCCTAAGTTTAAATCTTTTTTTTTTCCAGCTATGCTCTAATGTATCACTGTACCTTAGAAATGCACCCTGGGGAAAATGCTTCTGTTCTTCACTAAAATTCCATGAATAACATTACGTAGGAGTTAATTTATGATAAATGATTTAAAATCTTAACCTAGGATGACTTCTTATTCAAATGCCATCACAAAATGGTACCTCACCCGCAGAAAGGAGTCAAGGGATCCATTCTCCATGTATTCAACTACAATCATTACTGGTCTGCCTGCAAAACAGCAAAGAAACACATTAGGATTACAGACATATTATAGGGTTTTTATATTTCCAGCTGTTAGGTACAGATTAGTCACATTACTTAAATATGATAACTAGTTTCAAAATCCTCTTTTACTTGTATTATTCTCTAAGAATTATTATTTTTTTCTTTTTTTTTTTTCTTTTTTCTTTTTTCTTTATTAATAATAGTGAATTAGCAGACTGTGCATCATTTGCTCTGGTGTATTCCCACATTAAAGAGAATGAAAACAGTGACCATTACTTCCAAACAAGAGTTCTTGTTCTACCTCTAACTAAGAACAGCTCTAACTTAAATATACTTTGGATATGTATGTATCTTTCAACAATACTTTGGAATACATTTGAGGCAAGGAAAAAGAAACATAAGCCATCTCCTAGAAATTGCATGGTCAGTGCCATGATTTTCCCTCTCAAAGAAAAATATCCTAACAATTCAGGGGCATACAGATAGACTTAAAAATAGAGTTATTGTGCAAAAGCCCTCCTAGATTTGGTGTGCATATATGCACATATGAGTGCATGTTTCCTTAACCCAGCAGAATTCTGAGTTCATACGTTTTACATTTATTTGTGCATATACATTCGGTTACCCAAGTAAAAGTTTTGCTTAACCAGAATAGCTTTCCTGTTTGGTTCCAGGACAGCACCATATCCAAATTCAGCCTTCTTTAAAACTTAATTACAAGCTATTTTAATTTCTTAAGAAAACACCCAAATATAAAGACGAACTTTTAACCTGGACACTTTACTAAATACTGTTTCACTGTTTTTATCCAAGGCTAAGCCACCACTCTGGAACTGTCTAATAGGAGAGGCTCAACAGGCATGCTAACCAGGCTGCACTATGAGGTCTCTTATAGAACTGTTAGTATTGCACATGAGCCATTCTACTCTATGCAATCTATGTTAATAAGATAGGGAAGGAAGTAGAAAGTCTCAATCTTTTCTTTCCTGACAGTGCCTGCCCCTTTTGGGATTTAAGTAAAATCAGTGCTGCTTCAAGTGGTGAAGACACAAGTCCTCCCTTTCCGCTTTCTGTAAATATCAGCTTTTCCAGTATTTTTCAAATCCAAAAGAAAACTCTTTCAGGACTTTTCCCCTATCTTAGAAATTACCATTATGTTTTATTTGGACACTGTGATGACAAATAAACACAATATTCAAGGTGAGAAAGTACAGAATGGCATTACGAAGATTCCAGCACAATTTTCCATTTCTGTGCATGCCAGCATTCTCTTCACTTTGATTAATAATGGAGGTGTTAATTAAACTGTCTACAATATACAATAAGCCACAGCTAGTTATCTTTCCTATGCTGTTACAGCTCACCTTGTATTTAAAAAAATGAATGAGCAGTTTCTCTGTTCACAGAATCACAGAACTCTAGGAGTTAGAAGGGACTTCTGGAGATCATTCTGTCCAACCCACTGCTAAAGCAGTTCACTTGAGGCTCCCTTCCCTGAGTGTCAACACTGAATTCCACATGCACTGGTGATGCTTGCTGATGTAGCTTATTTTTGTTTTTCTGGAGTGTCTCACAATATCTTTTTCTTCTAATCTCTTCTAATAAAATTTGGCGTTCTTGTATTCACTCACATGTTTAGGTCCTCAATGAATAAAACAGTGCTGAATAATGTTCAGACAGTAGACATGTTTGAGTGTGTGTGAAAGTTTTCAGTTGCATTCTTGATTTTTATCAATAGCCTTTCTGAAATGGAAGAATTACCAAATTGTCAGCTTTTTCTTAATTATTATTATTTTTAAATGATCTCACCTGCAAGTGTGCATCTATTACCTATTCAATTTATTTATTTTCATCTGCATCTGTTGATTAAAATCTGGTTTAGCGTTTTTAGAGTTCAGAGCATTTTAAAAAGTAATGCTTTCTTCACTTTTCTTATGCTGACAAGTAGTATAGCCTACTCTTTTTAGTTTCAAGCACATGAATGATCTAGATTCCTGCACATTTACAATTTGCTTATTGTCAAGGGATTGAAATCTCCATATGAAAGGAATATTCTATAGTCTAGAGAAAAACAAATGGCAGCATAATGCCAGAGATCTTATAATATGCAGAACCTGCCTTTACATGCAAGTTTTCTCAAGCAAGTAGTAATTTCTAAATTGTTACAGACTGCAGCATCTTGCAATAAATAAGGATGTAAGCTGGCTTTCAGATGCTATATTTGTTCAGGCTTCAGTTACTCAGAAATTTCTCTTTTTGGATAAATCAACAAATAAAACATTTTTATGAAAAATTTACATTTGAAGAGAATGACAAATGGAGCTATTGAACTTCGAAACAATGCTCCTCGTTTTCTGTTAGTAATTCCTTGGCACCCTACACTTTAGAGAAGTTAGTTTGTAATTTTCCATAGAGGCTCATCAGCTCTCATTAAATTTTTTATGCACATTAGATGCATAACCTCTAATATAAATTATTTTCATACTTGTTTTGCAAAATCAATTTTTAATTCTTCTACATTCTCTCACAAAACAAAGATCCCTCTCTTCCCCCACAAAATAAAACCCCCAAACCACCCAACAAACTGCCGTTCATTTTGCTCAGACCAACAGTATGAATAAAATATATACGTTTTTATCTGGAGATTTTAAAAAGAGATTCCAGGTTTTGTCTGAATAATGTTTATGGGTTTTAAAAATGTTTGATATCTTTTTTCAGTCACTTGAAATGTTATGCCTTAACACATCGAGTCATTCCTGATGAAAATACTACTTAATAGCAATGATTCATTTCAAGAACACAAATACAACATCAGCTCTTCCATATGATATCACAGGAATGGTATGATTTGGCAAACATGCCAATATAAATTGCATTTTGTCTTCAAACAGGTCACTGTATACTGAAAGATCTGCATATCATTAAGCATTCTGTAATGCTGATTGCATGGGAACTGCTGAATCACGGCCTGAACCTCTGATTCACCACGTGAGGCAAGCAATGAGTCGGCCATGGGAGTGCAGGTGAAAGTAATTCACCTGTGCTACCGGAAAGGGTGGAGCCTGGCTCCACTTCTCCTAGATCCTATTTAAGCGCTGACTGCCACTGAGGAGGGATCTTTTCCTGGAGTTCACTCCTTGTGGATATCACAGAGTTAACTAGATCAATCTATGGCCGTGACAGAGGGTAGGAGGCCCCTGGCCTCACAAAATGGGAAGGGAGGGGGGGGGAAAAAAAACAAAAACAGTGGCAACGATCTATGGAGGAAAACTTATTTTACTAATTATGATATTGGAATGCAAGATAACACAATATAATACAATCTAATGGAAATTGAGACTAATAAATCAAATAAGATAGGAAAGAGAGAGTTCCCGAGACCGAGTCAAACCTGAAGAGCTTGGAACGGCTAGGAAAGCACCCTCCAGCACCCACTGCCAGGCAGTAAGAGACCGCCCCCCCCAGAAGGGTCAGATCCCATGACTTCTGTAATGTATAGGGATAGGTACCTGGAATTGAAGCATTAACACTTCAATTCCAGTACACTACATGATGTTTTGATGTGGAATACTGAAAACCAAAAAAACATAAAACCATGACAGTGGAGAATATTGTGAGCCTACAACATCGGTAAGCATTTTCCATTTACTATCCTCCTGTTGCAATAATCTTACTTAGCCTAACTTTCCTGGATATTTCTTAATTATAATATCTTTATATTCATTGATTATACACTGATGAACAATAAATTTAGTCACAGAGGTGCAGGTTAGCTTCCCACATGCTGAATTTGAATCCTTTTCCATGCTACCTAAATCTCAAACTCAGTGGGAGATTCTGCAGACTTTCACGATACCAAAAATTGAACTCAGCTCCATTCCTTGATTGCTTTAAGCAAAAATCTTAAGCCTGGATCCTAATACTAACTACTCAATCTTCTAGCATACCAGTATTTGACAAAAGCTATTGCAACTTGGCTGCAGTATTCACTGAAGATATTTACATGCCCCTAGCTAGACTGTGACAGTATACAGTCCACACAATAACACTTTCAGTCAGTGTAATATTTATCTTTGGAGTATATGTAGATCCAGACTGTTTCAGCTAGTGTTTTGGTTCCTTTAAGATATGATAATATAAAAATGCTATGTAGCAGATTCTAGTGGATGTATTTATCATCAAAATGGTAATACATAGGCTCTTTTCCCAGTAAACAATTCTTTTTCTACAGGTTTGCAAATTTTACACAATGATTTTTGAACATTTTACAAATATAACAACATCAACTGTCAGAAAACGTAAGGTAAGACACAACCTGATTTCAAAGGAGTGGAAAAACAGGTCCAGAAAATCAAGTGGCCATCTCCATCTATAAACCACAGTTCCCTCTGCGTTTGGTCAGGCTGAGTTTGGTTACCAACACACAATGCTGTACTTTGTTCCATGGCTCAATACCTTGTAGAGGCACTTCAGTGATTCCACTGTGCACTTGTGTTATGTGAACAGGCTCTCCCATTCATGGATAAAGGAAGGGGACTAGCAGTTGGCTCTGGAGAAAGTGGCTGAGATGTGAGGATGTGATTCTCTTGTAAATGCAAGGAGAGAATCTAACATTGGACATCCCTATGCAGACAGAGCCATTGGTCTCAAGGGCAGGCGGTGGATAGATGGCACCACACTGCGAAAATCAGAGATCCTGATATGAATAGCCACTGAACTCCATCAGTTCCAGATCTGGGAAGCAAACTGAAAGCACTGCTCTACTTCTGATGACCTAAACATGATAAAGCATGATCTGGGATGCCTAATCTTTAGAAGGTCAGAGGGTGGTGACCAGTACAGGACTGCCATAAAATAAAGTCCCTGGTTAGTTGCTGTTAGTTTCATATTTTAGCAGCAAAGAGCAGATGTTATCTTTTATATACTTTGGTATAATCTGAGTCCTGAAAAGATTAAGGTCTGTGCTGAATCTTGTACAACATGGAATACTGCTTTTGGTTTAA